CTATATTGCTTATACTTGTACAGCTATTATTTCTAGTTTGAAGTGCAGGATTTTATATTTAACTCTGTTAAACATAATTTTCAATCTCTCTCTCTCTTTTTCTTAAATCACTCACTCCCAACTTTGTTTGATTCATAGGTTTGATCAGCATACTTTCTAGGTCTTCATTTGTGTCAATGACAGAATTTTTAAAAGGACAAGGCCTTCATTAGAAACCTTTCTTTATGTTTATATTAATACATTAATTAATCTCTAGTTACAGTAATTTAATGTAATTCTAGTTAACCTAATTTACTAATAACAACACATATTTCTTTACTTTATCCAAAGCCAATATGATAGGAAAGTGAAGCCAGCAACAACAGGTATTGCTTTCTGACGATGAAGTATTTGCTGCTTCTGTCAAAATCATGGAATTGCTTCCTAAGCCACATTTTTCCACCAAAAATGATATTTCTTATTGCTATGTTTGAATATGTTCCCCCAATTTCACATGCTGGAAACTTAATCCCCAGATTCATATGTTGATTGGAGGTGGGGGCCATTAAGGGGGTAATTAGGATTAGATAATAGATAAGGTCATCAGGGTGGAGCCCCCTGATGGGACTGGTGGCTTTGTAAGAAGAGAAAGAGGAGCCTGAGCTGACATGTATGCTCTTTCCTTCCCACCATGTGATGCCCTCCGTCATGTTATGATGCAGCAAGATGCCTCACCAGATGCTGGTGCTATGCTCTTAGACTTCCCAGCCTCCAGAACTGTAAGAAAGATAAATCTCAGTTCTTTATAAATTGTCCAGTCTCAGATATTCAGTTATAGCAACATAATATAGACTAAGATACCTATTGTGACTTTCTACTTTATTTACTGTGCTTGTCACTGAGCAAGTCGTGGTTATTAAGGAAGATCAAATCTTAAAGAACAAAGATTTGCCCTTGTTAAGGATGTTCAAAAGAGGAGTTCCAAATAGGCCTAGGAATAAGTACACAGTCTTCCAAATCTATTTCTTTAAAAGGGACAACACACTATTTGGAAGTACAAGTTTTGCTGTGTTTGTTAAATCATCAGAGACAGTTTAACCCACTAGTCAAATACATAAGCTTTGGCCTGGTTCAACTCCTGGTTCTACCACTTCCCAAGTATTTATCTTGGAGTAAGTTTATCAGCGTTTAGTATAATACCTGGCATCTATTGAGAGCTATACAAAAAGAAATGTGATATTGTAAAATATATATTTGATCTTTGACCTAATTTCCTGGCCTACAACTCCTAAAGTCCTTAGACTTTCCAAAATGACATCTTTTTGTATGTTAATGAGATGACTGGTAGATGGGGACCCCTAGGTAGCTTCAGAATGGGGGCCGGTCACTGGAAAGACCAAGGCATGATTAAAGGGGTAGGACTTTCAGCCCTATCCCCCAACCTTCAGGGACAGGACACAAGCTGATGGTTAAGTTACTCACTAATGGCCAATGATGACATCAATCATGCCTGCACAATAAAGTCTTCATAAAAACAAAGGGGTTGGGTTTGGAGAGCTTCCAGATAGCTGAACATATGGAGGTTCCCATAGATGGTGTGGCTGGGGAGGGCATGGAAGCTCTGCAGCCCTTCCCGTACCTCACCCTATACATCTCTTCATCTATGTCTTTTGCAATAAACCAGTAAGCATAAGTAAGTGTTTCCCTGAGTTCTGTAAGCCGCTCTAGCAAATTAATGGAACCTAGGGAGGGGGTCATGGGATACCTTATTTATAGCCAGTTAGTCAAAAGCACGGGTACAACAACCTGGGGCTTGCAATTGACATCAATATAGGGGGCAGTCTTGGAGACTGAGTCCTTAACCTATGGAATCTGACACTATCTCCAGGTAGGTAATGTCAGAATTGAACTGAATTAGAGGACATCCAGCTGGTGTATGGGGCAGAATTGCCTGTTTGCTTGGTGTGCAGGGAAAATTCCCCACACCTTTGGTCACAGAAGTCTTCTGTATTGATTGTTGTGATGTGAGAGCAGAGGAAAAACAGTTTGGGTTTTTCTTTTTCCCATTCAAGGAGAAACTAGCATTTATTGAGCGTCCATTTATGTTAGGTACTACACGAAGTACTTAACATGTTGTCTCATTTTCCCTAAAAATTCTATGAAGTAGACACTTTTGTTATTCTCAATCCACAGATGGGAAGAGTGAGGCACAGAAAGATTAGACAATTTACTTAAGGCAACAGTGGAAGAAAGGATATACACCAGGTCTATGTGACTCCAGACCAGGATCCCAAATATAGTTCTATCCTGCTAGTCCCTGAATACAGATATAACCTTCAGTAGGCCTGATAACTTTAGAAATCTGAGTAGGAAGGATACTGATAACCAGACAGAGAGGTTTTGGAGACCCAAAAAGGCCTCTATGGCATGGTCTTACCTTGGTGATTCACCAGGGTGAGGTTCTTGTCCTCAGCCAGATAGACTTAGAAATGTAATTGGCTAACACATAGATTGTGGATTTATCTTCCAAAGTAGACTCAACCACCCAGAGGCTGGTATTCAAAACCATAATATCACAGTTTATGTATAAAATTTTGAATAGAAATAGAAAGAAATATAATGGCCAAGGGCCAAAACATTCAGGTCCTGTGACCAGCACTTGGGAAGTCAGATGGTAAGAGTATGTTGCTTACAGAGTACAGAATCAGAAACAAGGGAGTCTTTTTTGTTATATATATTTACAGGCTATGACAGAATCAAATCCATTCAACTCCAAAGCAGCTGCCTCCAGAACGCAACAGGCTAGTGCAACCTCTTACCTACAAACACTTGGATAAACAGCACCAGGATTTGCCTCTCTGAGACCCTCTTTCTTCCTAAGTTTTCAGGGCTGACTAGCCCTGCTTCTGAATGATACCTTCTTTCTTGAATTTAGGTAAGAGCATAATTTTGCCTACCAGGGAGACCATTCTTCCTCTTTACTAAGACTTTGAATACCTATCCTTTGATCCATTATGCATGGATTTCAAGGTTTAAATCTGAAAGGGCAGCTTTAGTTCCAAGTTCTTGGCGGGGGAGTCCTCTCACTGAGCCCAAAGTACTGAGAGTAGCAATAAGAAACAGGACCCATCTGGTCAAAGCTGCCTTCTTTCTGAAGCTTTTGCTGATTGGCTTTCCAGCTTCAGAAACAAAGACTGTCGCCATCAGATTTTTGCCTGTCTACTGAGAACTAAAGGATAACAAACACTGTTTCTGTAGCTACCAAAGAGACAGACTGCTTGGAGAAAGATTTACATGGCTCTGCAGACACCGTGGCTGTGCCAGCTCTGGGGGAGTCAGTGCACACGGTGTGAAGCAATTTTTTTTTCTTGGCTCTTTGCCGTAGACTCAGGCAGCTACAGTAACAGCAGCAGTTCCTACTCCCATGCAGAACTTCCAGAATGCCTGGGAGTCTTCTAATGATAACAACTAGTGAAAGAGAAGGTTACAAGTCCTCCCAGCTAAAGCAGCCAAGACTTAAAGGAGGATAGTTGCCCCTAGAACCTTAGTGCCCAGGGTAACTATAGAGATTAAGTCAAAAAAGGAATATCTCTCTGCCTGCACGTGCTACAGGACACCTTGCACAGCAGATCATGAAAGAAAGTGTGGACAAACTCTGCTCCTCTCCTTCTGTATCTTCAGGGCACAGGAAAGAGGATAAGGGTCATGCAGGAGCAGAATTATTCCAGAACTATCAGGCTGCCTCATTGGGAAAGCACAATGAGAATGGAAGCCCCTGCATTTTGAGGCCTAGTCTTCCCAGCTCCTTTCAGAAGATGGAAACAATCTCAGGTAGACCCAGAGCTCTTGGTGCGTGGACACAGAACACTAGATACACTTGATTATATCCACAGCCTCTCCTTAGAGAGATCTCTAGATGATGCTGGGAGAAAGGGATAGGGCTGATCAGGGCAGTCAAACTATAGTTACTGATTCTCTTCACTGAAGGCCAACCGGGGTTCTAGACTGCCCAGTCCACTCACTCAAGGTATTGTGATTTCTTACCATATCCCACCTCTCTCCAACATTCACATATTTAAGGAAAGCTTCCACCAGCATTCAGGGGTTAACTGAGTAGTAAGACTTGGCCCCTTTATGATTCCAGATTCCTGCAGGAGGTTTGTTTTCTGAACATTCCCCTCTGTGCACTCCCCTCTTGTCTTAATTGGCCCTACCCATTGAGGTAGATTCCAGATCTTTTTACTGTATCTTTGGCTTGGCTCAAGCCTCTGACCCCTCCACTGTGAAATCTAAAAGCAGGGAGATGGCCAAAATAGGCAGTCAGGGAAGAGCACAGGCATTCCTATTGCATCTGCTCAGTCTCTCAGCAATCCTCATGTCAGGGAACCTCTCTGGGTTACAAGCTGGGTAACGAGAGTCTCCCCTTCCTCACTCACTGCATAAGGACAGGATGAGACAGAGCAAGATCTCTCAGAGACTGTCTGCTGGGTGCTGAAAGATAGTTCTGTTGAATGTGGATGTTCTCGGAAGTTTCCATTCTGGATGTAATTCCTCAGGTCATTCCCTAGGTCTGTTTGAGCTAAGGTCTGGATGGTTATGCCCCTCAAGTGACTCCTTGCTGTTCCTCTGGTTATCACTGGCTCTCAGGGGAGTGGCCATTCATGGTTGTAACTGTAACTGTTGTCACATGTAACTGCTACTGTTGTTATTTTTAACACTTAGAGAGCTGGTATTCAGAGTCGAAGGAATTCAACAAAGCCAGGCAATAGTGATGGGCTACCACTTTGGCAAGAATTGATTGATTGATTAAAAAAACCATTTGTTGAACTTAAGCAATGCACCACTTGATGATGTGAAGGGGAACAAAGATAAATAAGAAAATGAATTCTCTCCTCCAGGAAGCTACATTGTAATGGAGATATAGGTGCATACATAAATCACCAGAATATAAATGAGGATAGAAGGACGGGTCATAGTGATAATGTCTTTACCTGGTATGATAAAAGAGCATTTTCACTTACCAGGCCATCAGGCAAATGCTTGTTGATCTGGAGTAGCTTGATCCTGTTTTTGCTGAAGAAGCCAACACCAAGATTAATAAAGGCAATTGTAACACAGTAAGCATCATGAAGTAAATACTTGGTAATGCTCTATGTGCATATAACAGGAGCTCAGTGTGTTATCACTTCCTTTTAAATGGATCTCTTTTAAAGTAGTAAAATTGATTGATCAGCATTCAATCACTTCTCTTTAAAAGCAAGAGAAGCAGAAGTAGCATTTCTCTTCCCTGTTCCTCAGGGCAACTAACCATGAGAACAAACAGGGGTCAGTACCAGGAATAAAGTTGACTCATACCCTTAGGCTTTCTCTCCTTTTAGAACCATTGAATGAAGACTTGGAATGGGATGACATTCATTCTCATAGGGCAACAGATGGAGTTGCCAAAGGAGAGAGGTTAGGGAGGGAACAGGCAGGGAACATGAGGTGAAGGGACATGAGGCAGTGACTATTGCACTGCTTTTGACAAAGTCTCTTCATCTCAGAAGAAAAGGCTGTTCTGGGAAGATCATATTCTAGGTAGAAAGATAAGTATGAGTAGAAATCATATATGTGCTGGCCCAACATCCCAGGGAAGGAGAGTAACATGTTGTGACAAAATGAATAATATCTTTATGACCTGGTACTAGTCCCTGGTTCCCAGGTCTAGAAAACTTAAAAACAAAATCATCAAGAGCATAGGTTTTAATGTATAGAATTAGCTGTAAAGAGACAAGGTGGACTTTTCCCAAGGCAGGAATGGTGCCACATCGAAAATGGTGACAGGAAGGAAAACAGGGCAAGGTGAGCTATACTGAGTTCTTGGCCTTCGAGATAAAAGAGGTCGAATTTATCTCTCTCCTCCCAGTGAGGTTTTTTGTTGTTGTTGTTGTGTGTTTTGTTTTCCTGAGACAGATTTTCATTCTATTGCCCGTGTTGGAGTACAGTGGCATGATCATAGCTCACTGTCACCTCCAACTCCTGGGCTCAAGTGATCCTCCTGCCTCAGCCTCTGGATTAGCTGGGACTACAGATGTGTGCCACCATGCCCTGATAATTTTTCTTATTTTTTTGTAGAGACAAGGGTCTCACTATGATGCCCAGGCTGGTTTCAAACTCCTGGCCTAAAGTGATCCTACTGCCTTGGTCTCCCGGAGCACTGGGATTACAGGCATGAGCCACAGCGCCTAGCCATCTCCGATGACTTCTTACAGGCATTTTTCCCTATGTCATGCTTTTGTTATCTCTTCTACTATTCATAATTGTCACTTAAGTCTCTATCTGCTATTTAAATATTTATGGTTGTTTCTGTATGAACTTTTAACTACCCGAAGGCAGCAATCATGTCTTCATACCTTCAGTGGCAACTGGCTCAGTGCCTGCTCTCATTAGGTCATTAAGAAACACTGCTGGATTTGATGTTATAGGAGAATTGGACTTCAAGGGTTGACAGCTGCAAGGTCTGGCAATCCATAGGTCTGGCCAAGAATTTCCATGAGGCAAGGCAACATTTGGCAATTACAAGGGCATTCCAGTGAAGTGAAGAGGAGTGTCAGATTTTGCAATAGTTCTGCAAATAAAATAGATTTTTCTGGAGTGGCTGAGTTCTCGGAAAAACATGTGCTGATGGCAAAAAGTAACCTGGGTCCTCACCAATATGAAGATCATGCAAGATATAACCTCTGCCAGATTCAAATAGGAAGAGGTGACATTAATAAACTTTCTGAGTTTTACATGGCATTATGCTAGGTATTATATATGCTGAATACTTTAAAAAAGTAAGATACTGTTAGTGCCCTTACGCTGAAAATCATAATGAGGAGTCAATGTGCGTGTATATAAAATAATCAGAGAATGATATGAATGTTACATTGAGTTACAAGTTGAACATTACAACATCGCTGTTGAGGAAGGTGTCCTAAAGAAGGGAGCCTTGAGATAGGTCTTGAGAGTTCTCAAATTTTTATGGGTCTTTCTCCTTCTAGCCCAAGATCATTTAAAACATAATAAAGTTTATGGTTTCATACACCCCCTCCACCTTACACCTCCCTATTAATATTTCAAGATAGCATTTAATTTGCTTGGTATAATAATGTGCCTCATATTCCTTTAGCTTCTGAGCGTGGATCTATAACCCTAACTCACAGATTAAGCTTCACTCCATTCCAAGGACTCTATCTAATTTTCCTGCTAGAATAACGTGAGGAGACCAGGTCATTAGTTCAAAGAGTCCATTTCAAAGGTAATCAGGCTTTTGAAGGGAGCAGTTCCTGTCTTATCTTTCTATTTTCTTAGACCAAATTTCTTACCAGTGACTTCTCCTCCCATGAACAGAGCTACAGCCCCCCAAATGATCTCCTTGTCACCGGGGCCTCTGGTTTCTGTTGCTAGGATTTTTGTGATCAATTAGTTGTATTTTTTTAAGGCTAGTCAAATGAAGCAGTGGGAGTGGAGAAAGAACAAACAAATCTGTAACTGGTTGTGATCGATTAGTTGTAAACACAAGTGCACTCAGACCAGCTGATGGCCAGGTATTTTGTATGCCAACTTTCTGTGCACTTGTATCTGTATAATTGTCTAATGCCAGTTTAGATCAACACCCTGAATCTTGGATTCATTTTAGACTTTTTTTTTTCCTTTTTTTGAGACAGAGTCTCACTTTGTTGCCTGGGCTAGACTGCTGTGGCATCAGCCTCGCTCACAGCAACCTCCAACTCCTGGGCTCAAGCGATCCTCCTGCCTCAGCCTCCCAAGTAGCTGGACTACAGGCATGCGCCACTACGCCTGGTTGATTTTTTCAATATATGTTTTTAGTTGTCCAGTTAATTTCTTTCTATTTTTATTAGAGATGGGGTTTTGCTCTTGCTCAGGCTGGTCTGGAACTCCTCAGCTCTAGTGATCCTCCTGCCTCAGCCTCCCAGAGTGCTGGGATTACAGGCGTGAGCCACCACGCCCAGCCTCATTTTGGACTTTTTACCATAAGTAAAAACTTTCTGCCACAGTCCTGGGGCTAGTTCTAATATAAGAATCAGAGAGAAGGCAGTACACTGGTGGCCCAAGGGTGTCTTATGTCCAGTGTGTCTGGCTAGAAGACAAAGAGTGAATGAGAGGCTGCAGCTTTGTGATGGGCTCTGCCATAGTGTGCATATGGTTTGTTTAGCCCTGCCAAGTCTCATGTTGAAATTCAATCCTCAGTGTTGGAGGTGGGGCCCGATGGGAGGTGTTTGGATCATGGGGGAGGATCCTCAAGAATGGCTTGGTGCCATTCTCCCGGGAATGACTGAGTTCTCTTAGTTCCTGTGAGAACTGGTTGTTGAAAAGAACCTGGCATCTTCTCTTCTCTCTCTTGATTCCTTTCTCGCCATGTGATCTCCACACACTGGCTCCCCTTTGCCTTCTGCCGTGAGTGGAAGCCCTCACCAGAAGCAGATACTGGAGCTACGATTCTTGCACAGACTGCAGAAATGTAAGCCAAATAGATCTCTTTTCTTTATAAATTACTCGTCCTCAGGTATTCTTTTATAGCAGCACAAACTGACTAAGACAGGCTCATAGTCATCAACTTCTTTGTGATACAAATGGTAGCCACAGAAAATTTCTGCTTTAAGTCATGAGGCAATGAAAGGGATGTTTCAGGAGGGAAAAAACAGTATAGGATGGATTAGCTAGCAGGGTGACTATCAAGAAACTATATGCCTTAGCATTTACATCAAATCAAATGACATAAGGCATACCCAGCCCAGTTCCTGGCACTAAACAAATATTAGTTTACTTGCCCTTGAATATAGATTTTACAGTTTACAAAGTGCCTTTGCAACTTGAGGGGTGGGGGGGGGCATGGGCAATATATGTAACCTTAACATTTGTACCCCCATAATACGCTAAAAGAAAAAAAGAAAAAAAAAAGAAATTTGGATAAAAACCAAACAACAACAAAACAAAGTGCCTTTGCCTACATTAAATCCCCCCCAAACCTTCTGAATCCCAAAACATGACACATCTGAAAAACTGCAAGGCTGATCTGATAGTCAGACCCAGGTTTTCAAACCCCAAAGCTAGTTCTCTTTTCCCTATACCCCAGAGATCTTCCTATTGCCGTGTCCTAGATTTAAGATGGCAAAGGCTTGTGCTAACAGTGTGATGGAGATGAAAGAATGAGCTGTGAGTTCCTGGGTATCTGGGGTTCTCACGGCCTTATTATTATATATCCTTATTTGTAAAATAACAATACTGTTTTATTTTATCTATTTTATATTATATTATATTTTATCTATTCCAAGACACATATGTTGTCATATTTTAACACCTCTGAAACCAAGACGTGACTTACAATTGATGGTGTTTTACAGTTGTTTCTGCTGCTCAGCAGTTTTGATGTAGTGATTGTCTGTCTGCTCAGGCACAAACGTGGCTGTTTTTCCGGTGGCATGACTGGAAAACTGAAACCCATGAACATTTCAGTTTATTGACTCAACTACCATTGGAGCAAGTTATATGAATCCTAGCTGTTGCCTATCAACACCTTCTGGAAAGATCAAGAAAGTACTTGTATCAAAATTTACACAATGAATGTCAGAGATTTGGAAGAAAACCTCAGAAAAAAATGGTTGAGACCTGCCTAAGGAATGCTGCATCACTAGTGCTCTGATGCAACTCTGGTAATGCTGTGTTGAGAAACACAGACATCAATGACTCAGAGTCAAAAGTGACTCAGAAGACAAACTCTGTTCCTTTATTTTTATTTATTTTTTTGAGACAGAGTCTCGCTGTGTTGTCTGGGCTAGAGTGCTGTGGCATCAGCCTAGCTCACAGCAACCTCAAATTCCTGTCTTCACCTCCTGAGTAGCTGGGACTACAGGCATGCACCACCATGCCCAGCTAATTTTTTCTATTTTCAGTAGAGCATGGTCTCACTCTTGGTTAGGCTGGTCTCAAACTCTTGCGCTCAAGATCCTCCTCCTGCCTCAGCCTCCCAGAGTGCTGCCACACCCGGCCAGAAGAAAGACTCTGAATGTGAAGATATTTTGGACTGCCTTAACTAAATCATTTCCTTTATATTTTCCTTTTTATTAATGCACAAGTGTGATATATGATAAAAATCCATGTTTAAATAAATCTAAATAAGCCCTTTGAATGAGGACATTGGGCCACAGATTAACTTATTTTCTTTCTTAGTGGTATATAATAAATGGTGTTCCTTACAAACAGTAGTATCTTAGATTCAATGAGGATAGTCATATTATATTTGCCCAAATGATTCATAATGTATATAGTCACCTCATTTTGATCATCACAATAGCCTTGTGATATTACCAGCGAATACTATCCCCAATTTTACCTATGAGAAAAATAAGGCATATAAAATAATCTACTAAGATAGCCATAGAATGATAAGAACTCATCCTAATTTCAGTCCTCTAGAATAAGCCTTAAAGTCTTCCTTTTCCCTCTAAAATTTCAAGAATTGTATCAATCTTAGAGCTACTGCTAAAAAAAAAAAAGAAAGAAAAAGGAAAAAAAAGGAGCGTATCTGGTAAGATTGAATCCAAATTTTACAGAATTGCTCTCTAGATCTTGCATAATTTTTTTTTTTTTTTTTTTGAGATAGAGTCTCCTTTTATTGCTCAGGCTAGAGTGAGTGCCATGGCATCAGCCTAGCTCACAGCAATCTCAAACTCTGGGGCTCAAGCAATCCTGCTGCCTCAGCCTCCCGAGTAGCTGGGACTATAGGCATGAGCCACCATGCCCGGCTAATTTTTTCTATATATATTAGTTGGCCAATTAATTTCTTTGTATTTATAGTAGAGACAGGGTCTCGCTCTTGCTCAGGCTGGTTTCGAACTCCTGACCTTGAGCAATCCGCCTGCCTCGGCCTCCCAGAGTGCTAGGATTACAGGCGTGAGCCACTGTGCCCGGCCCAGAATGGATATTGAACATGATTCTCTAAAATGAATTGTCAGAGTTTTAACTACAACAAATCGCTATTACACATAGCCTAGTACTATACCTGACACATAAAAGGTATTAAATAAGTAAATGGAGTTGTATTACTCAGGAGCATTAATACTGGCTATCCCAGCATTCAAACCCTGAATTCTCAGTAGCTTAAACCACAAAAACTTATATCTTACACATGTCATGTACCTAGCAGAGGTTGGCAAGCAGTGAAAGTTGAGTGTTGCTCTATTCCTCACCTTCACTCAATCTTCTCGTTTCAACGTCCCCTCTGAAATTCATGTTGGAATTTAGTCCCCAATGTGATAGTATTAAAAGGTGGGACATTTAGGAAGTGATTAAGTCATGAGTGCTCCACTCTCATGAATGGGATTAATGTCTTACAAAAGAGGCTTTATACAGCATTTCTCCCTTTTTGTCTTTCCGTCCCTTCCCCCATGTGAGGACAAGGAACCATCTTGGAAGCAGAAACAGGGCTCTAACCATATAGGCACTGCTAGCGACTTAATCTTAGACTTTCCAGCCTCCAGAATTGTAAGAAATACATTTCTATTCTTTATAAATTACCCAGTGTCAGGTATTTTTTGGTAGCAGCACAAAAAGACTCAGAAATTGGTAATGAGACTGAGATGTTGCTATAATAAATACCTGAAAATGCAGACGTGGCTCTGAAACTTGGTGATTTATAGAGCCTGGAAGAGTTTGGAGGTGCATCTTAGAAAAAGCCTAGATTTCCATGAACAGAGTGGTGTATATTAAGGGCAGTTCTGGTGAGCTGAGAAGAAGAGAGCTATAGAGAGAGGCTAAATCTTAGAGATCACTTATGTGGTCATGATCAGAATGCTGGTAGAAATATGGACAGTAAAGGCTATTCTGATGAGGTCTCACATGGAAATTAGGAATGTGGTATTGGAAACTGGAGGAAAGGCCATTCTTGTTACAAATTGGTAAAGAATTTGGCTGAATTGTGTCCATGTCCTACTGCTACGTGGAAGGCAGAACTTGTGGGTAATGAACTAGGATATTTGGTAGAAGAAATATCTAAGCAAAGCATTGAGGGTGCTGCATAGCTACTTTTGACTGCTTATAGTAAAATGTGAGAAGAGAGAAATGAATTAAAGATAGAATTGGAAGGGAAGGAAAAAATTCAGAAAATTCTCAGCCTGGCGTTACAGAAAAATCTGAGGCACAATAAAATTTTAAAGAGTTGATTTGAGTAAGAAGCAATTCATCAACTGGAGAACACCAGACCAAAAGAGGTTTAGTGTTCCAATGACAAAATGTTAAAATATTTATTGGGAAAATGTGGAGGCAAAATAAAGAAATTATTGGAATGGTTTGCAATTACAAAATTGCCTTTTTAAGGTACTTTGTTGGAAAGTCCCTAATCACAGAGTTAGTCCCTAATCAATATGTTAGTTGATTGCTTGTGATTGGTTGGGGTTAAGTTTTAGTTTTGTCTAACATAAGCATTTACCACAAATGACCCAAGTTATGTTTTATTTATATTTACAGTTTAAGCAAGATTTAGGCTATTTTTAAGGCCTTTGGTTTGGTATGCTCGGCAATTTTTCACACCTGGTCTCCATTTTAACTTTGTTTTAACACTAGCCAGGTTGTCAAAGCATGTTTGGGAAAGAATACTAAGGATGTGGCCAAGTGACCACTTGATAAGGAGATTAGTCTCCATAGAAGGAAGCCACATGCTATTCATTAGGACAATGGAAGTATGACCCTGAAAGGCATTTCATAGATCTTTGAGTCTGCCATTCCCAACACAGGCCCAGAGTGCCAGCACCTTGAGGACAGAACAGTTTTGTGGGATCTTGGGGCTTGCTGCCCAGTGCTGCCTCAAGTCTCTGTTCCCTGTATCACAGCACTCTTGACTGCCCCAGCTGTGATTCAGGCTGCTGCTCCAGAAGGCACAAGTGGTAAACCTTGGTGGCATCTCTGTGGTGCCAACTCTGCAGGTGTGCAGAGTGCAAGAGCTGTGGATGCAGTGCTACCTCCACCTAGATTTCAAGGGCTGCCTCAGAAAGCCTCAGGACCTAGGCTGAGAGCCCCTACTAGGCAATGCCCAGCAGAACTCTGGGGTCAGGGTAACTGCAGAAAGTCCCCACAAGGGCAATATCTAGTGAGGTTATGGGGAAGGGCTACCCCTGAGACCCCAAATCTGTAGAGCCACCAGTGTGCAGTGCCAAGCTGGAAGAACTGCAGGCACTCGACTCCACCTCCTGAGAGCTGCAGTGTGGGCTGTGCCCAGTGATGCCACTGGAGTGTGCTGTCCAGGGTCTTGGGGGCCCAACCCCCACCCAGTGTGTCTGGAAGGTGGGCCATAGAGTCAAAGGTTATTTTTCTGAAGCTTCAATATTTAATGTTGTGTGCTCTGTTCAGTTTTTGGACTTACTTGGGACCTGTTACCCATGTTTTTCTTGTCTATTGCTCCCTTTTAGAGTGGGAATGTCTATCCTATGCTTATCCACCATTGTGTTTTGCAAGCACATAACTTGTTTGATTTCCACATGCTCACAGCTGGAGAGGAATTTGTCTCAGGATGAATCATACCTTGAGTTCACCCATATCTGATTTAGATGATATTTAAATTTTTAAGGGGGGCCATGTGGAGGGAGGTTCAATTTCCTTTTTTTTTTTTTTTTTGGAGACAGAGTCTCACTTTATCTCCCTGAGTAGAGTACAGTGGCATCATCATAGCTCACTGCAACCTCAAACTCCTGGGCTAAAGCGATCCTCTTGCATCAGCCTCCTGAATAGCTGGGACTACAGGTGTGTACCAGGACACCTGGCTAATTTTTCTGTTTTTAGGAGGGGTTTCACTCTTGCTCAGACTGGTCTCGAACTCCTGAACTCAAGCAATCCTTCCGCCTCAGCCTCCTAGAATGCTAGGATTACAGGCATGAGCCACGATACCCCTCCAGATTTAGATGACATTTAGACGAGACTTTGGAGTCAGATTTCAAAGTTGACACTGGAACAAGTTAAGACATTTGAAGCTACTGGGATAGCATAAGTATATTTTGTACATAAGAAGGACATAAATTTGATGGAACCTGGGGTAGAATTCTATGGTTTGAATGTCTGTGTTGCCTCCAAAATTCATGTTGAAACTTAATCCTCAGTGCAATAGTAGTAAGAGGTGGAAACTTTAGGAAGTGATTAGGCCGTGAGGGCTCCCTCCTCATTAATGGATTAGTGCCTTATAAGAGTGCTTGAGGGGGCGAGTTTGCGCCTTCTGTCCCTTCCTCCCTGTGAAGACACAGCTTTTGTACCCTCTGGAAGATGCAGCAACAAGGCACTGCCTTGGAAGCAGGAGAGCAGCCCTCAACAGACACTGGACATAGCAGTGCCTTGACTGCACTTCCCAGACTCCAGAACTGTGAGAAAGGAATTTCTATTATTTGTAAATTACCCAATCTCAGGTATTTTGTTATAGCAGCACAAGTGGACTATGAGATTCAGTAACCAA